TTATCGAGAAGTGAGGCACGTTATCCAGCACACAAACTGGAGTTTTTAGCATTAAAATGGTCAGTAACTGAAAAGTTTCACGATTACTTGTATGGCGGTCAATTTATGGTAGTTACAGATAGTAACCCGCTTACATACATATTGACCTCTGCTAAATTAGATGCCACAAGCTACAGGTGGCTTGCAGCCTTGTCCAACTATAACTTTAAGCTACAGTATAGAGCGGGCAAGCAAAACCTGGACGCAGATGGGCTATCTAGACGTCCACATGGTGAACTTGTAAATGATGTCCAGTCCAGGAAAGAGCAGGAGCGTGTAAGCCGGTTTGTGGAGCGTCACCTACCTAACAAAGACAACGCTGAGCTGGTAGGTAGTGATGTTGTCCACGCAATCTGTCAAAACCACTTTGTTAAATTCAGAGATGACAGTCAAGATAGCGGTGTTACGCTTGTAGAATCACTTACCATTTCAGCTGACGCAATACCAGACCTCTATCTTTCTGAAGAACTCCTTGGATCAACTACCATTCCTGCTTTGTCCCAATCAGAACTGAGAGACAAACAAAGAGCAGACTCGACAATCAGACAAGTTCTTGATCAAATCGAACATGGTCAAACACCTCCACCAACAGCGAAAAAAGAACTTCCAGATCTCCCTCTCTTTCTCAGGGAACTCAATCGATTGGAGATTCACAATGAGGTGTTGTACAGAAAGAGACAAGATGGAGACAAAGTGACCCACCAGCTCGTTCTTCCTGAGGAGCTCAGAGCTTCTGTGCTTGAGAATTTGCTCAATGATATGGGCCACTTAGGAATTGACAGAACCCTTGATCTGGCCAGGACGCGATTCTACTGGCCACGCATGGCAACAGATGTTGAGCAGAAAGTAAAACACTGTGATCGCTGCGTACGGAGAAAGAGTCCACCTGAAAAGGCAGCTAGCCTGGTCAACATAACAACCACCCGACCTTTAGAGCTAGTCTGCATGGACTTTCTCAGTTTGGAACCAGACAGTAGCAACACTAGTAACATCCTCGTAATGACAGATCATTTTACTAAGTTTGCTCTCGCGTTGCCCACCCCTAACCAAAAGTCCAAAACGGTTGCCAGGTGCCTGTGGGACCAGTTCATTGTCCACTACGGCATACCTGAGCGCCTGCACACCGATCAGGGTCCTGATTTTGAGGCAAAACTGATAAAAGACCTATGTGAGATATCAGGCATAAAGAAAATAAGAACCACTCCTTACCACCCTAGGGGAAACCCTACTGAAAGATTCAATAGGACTTTACTCAGTATGCTAGGAACACTGGAGTCTAAACAAAAGTCTCACTGGAAAGACTATGTCATGCCGTTAGTACACGCGTATAACTGCACGCGTAGTGATGTAACAGGGTTTACTCCCTACAAATTAATGTTTGGCAGGAAACCGAGATTAGCTGTTGATCTCGCGTTCGGACTTCCTCTCAACAAAGACCAAAAAGTTACACACTTACAATATGTGGAAAGTCTCAAGAAACGAATCGAGGAAAGCTATAAGTTAGCTTCACAAAATGCACAAAAAGTGGCAGACAAAAACAAGGCCAGATTTGACCGTAAAATCACTGTTTCTGAACTGGAACCTGGGGATAGGGTTTTAGTGAGGAATGTGCGGCTGCGTGGTAAGAACAAGCTTGCTGACAAATGGGAGAAGGAAATCTATGTAGTAGTCAAACGTGCAGGTAACTTACCTGTCTATACTGTTGAACCTGAGTCAAAGCAAGGTCCCTCACGAACTGTACACAGAGACCTTTTGCTTTCATGCAGTTTCCTCCCGGTTGCCACAGCAGATACACTTGAGTCAGAGCCAATTCGCCGTCCTAAGACACGTCAAACCAGTGCCACTAAAGGCAATGATGAAGAGTTAAACGAAATTGATGATGAACTGTACGAACTGATTCAATGGGTTGAGGATTCCCCATCTGAAGAGGTAACCAGATTTACTACTGTACATGAGTATCCAAAACCTTCAAAGGAACCTGAGACTGCAATTCCACCTGAATGTGACTTACCTGAAACCACTGCCAACACAGAGTCTGAAATCACTGCCAACGCAGAACGACAAGACAAGACAAAAATGGACAACCTTGTGGAACATAAAACTGTGGCCAAGGGAGACAATCAAACGACTCACCTGATGAGATGGACAGTAGCGAACCTATTACTACACAACCAATAAGACAATCAGAAAGAGTCAGACAACCTCCAAAAAGACTTGAGTATCCTAATTTGGGGAACCCTCTTGTGACTGTTGTCAAGTCACTGTTCCAGGGATTGAGTACAGCCTTTTCGGAATCTCTGATTAGTAAAGATGAACAATGCTGGATGCACATGCAACGAGACGTGCATGATATTTAGCGGGGGAGGGTGTAACCCAGTAGAGAAAATGGGTCATTTTCTTTTTCTGTATTTATGTGTATGTACTTTTATTTTGAAAAGAGGAAGTGTGATCCCCTTGCTAAAACTTTATTTTCCTGTTTCGCGGTCATGTTGAGAGATAATGACCTTGTGATTGGTTCAGAGGTATTAGTCCCGCCCCCCTAGTGGCGGACTGAATCTTTCGAGAATTTTCTGTCTTTTTGCACTCTGGGAATGAACGAGACAGGCTGTAGACGGTCCATGCTAAACTCTATGGGTCGTCTCGTGAGTTTGATAAAACAAAATGGTGTAAATAGTTACATTGTCTTTTTGTTGATTTGGGAATGTTTGTTGTATTAAGTGGAAGGAGCACGAGCTGGAGAGACAGTGTTGTTGTGCCCTTGCTGTGTTCCTCACGATACCTCATCTTGGTAAGTCAATGCCTTGTGAGGGCTAGAAAAACGTGTTAGCGCAATGCTAATACTGGCGCGATGCTAACGCTAATCGCGAGTGCCGTTTTTTATGTTTGTTAGCAATGTAAAAGCTATTTTTGGTTTAAATATGGTTTCTACCTTATTCTATGTAGTTCATAACTATACTGAGAAGCACTTTTTGTTAGTTTCATACTATTTTTGGTCATATGTAAGTATTATTTTGAGGTTGATTGTACATTTCTATGGTTTATTGTATGAAAGTGTATAGTATTTCTTCTGTAATGCTAAACCCAGTAGCACAGATAAGGTTTTACTGATACAATTGATGATTTTTGAGTAGAATATCTGAATTCATTAGTATTATTCATTACAAGTTAAAATTCATTTAAAAATGTATATGCTAGTTGTTAAAAATATTTAATCATAATGTTATGGTTAAATAATTGTTTAAAAAAGGATAGTGATATTTTCATTTGTTTTACAAGGATTAAAAACTATTTCATGTAATACAAAAGGATATTTGAGTTAAAAACATGCATGTAAAATATTATTGTATACTTTGTAACATGATAATAGAGTAAAAAGGATTTAGCTATAGCAGAGATAGGATAACAGCTGTAAACAATAATACCATTATTGTTGTGCAGGCTAGTTTTCCATGGTAAAGAAAACCTAGATGGATTCTTTGGATTCTCTCTGGATGGAGATGGCGAGCCTGTGCCCAGAACTGGATTCGAGTTGAACCACCATCGTTCCTAAGTGCCGAGTGGTAACACCTTAAATAACCACTTCTGAAGGAAAAGAACTGAACTTAAAGAATATTGACTTGACTACAACTTATAAAAGACTAACTGAGCTCAATGGGACTGGGGATATATTTTTGTTTTGCATTTGCCGGCAATGCTCATTTGTTAAACACTGTATCAAACTGATTTATTTTCAATTGTTTACTAAATAACATTTTTCTTTACATTGTTGTTGCCTCCTGCCATTTCATTAAGCATTCACCGTAGTTTTTTATTGTAATCCTTTTGAACCTAGCAACTGGTCTATACTTTTAGTCCCACCTTACCTAAACTAACGTGAGCCAAGGGTTACACGTGTCTTTGAGTAATCTGTGCACAATAAATACACTGCTGCAGGAAACAGTCCGCGTCTCCCTCTCCTCTCGAAGCGCGATTAAACGCCCTAAATAAAGCTCTGATACCTAAATTTTGCATTGCATTAAAAGTTCATGTTTGAGCCCAAAAGTAATATGTTGTGAACAAATTAAACAGATTTAGAGCCAGCTAAGGCAAGGCAAGGCAAGTTTATTTATATAGCACAATTCATACACAAGGCAATTCAAAGTGCTGAACAGAACAAGAAAGCATTAAAATCATAAATAATCATGGTGTCAAATGGATTTCTAGGATTTTTGATAGGAGGGGGAGATTTGAGATGGGGTGGAAGTTGTCCAGGTTTTCAGGGTTCAGGTTAGGTTGGCTGTTAGGTATGGCTTTGGCCATGAGGGCATTTAAACAAAAATATGAAACTCTGAAGTGTGTTTTGTTTCTCACTGTTAATGTATAACTATAAAGACGAGGCCTCAAAATATGTTGTGTTGAAGACAGTTTGCTCCTGGTGTGCTACACCGTACTTAGCGTATGAACTATAGCAACATGTTTGTGCCGTTTCAAACAGTCCATGGATTTGTAGCTTATTTTAACTGTATGAAATGCAAAAGCTCCTTCAGCAGCAATGTTCTACTCAAAAGTTACGCCATTACCAAGTACAATCCAAATTAAATATCAAATCCCAAAAAAATCCAGAGCAGTTAATCATTTTTCTTTTTGTGGAATCAGCATTATTTTAAACTGCAAAACACATGCGTCCACCTTCTACAAGTCACCTATGATGCGTGATTTGAACTCATGAAACTCGTAGCTTTTTTGGGGAAAATGTATTCCATTAAAAAGATACCAGGATCAATATCATGAACATAACCCCCCCCTTCCAAACACCCATGTGTTTATGAAACAAAGAGTGACATAAGTAACCAAAACATGTGTGCATGTAATATGGGTTTACAGTCTTGTCATTTCATCAAGCAAAAGCATAACTGATGAAGGGAATAATGTTGCACATTCTGTTTTATTTGTAGTTTCTCTGTTGTGTCCCATCAGAGCCTATGCACGACAATGGAACTCAGACAATCAAGGCTGAAGTGGTTGAACCCATTGTTGAGGTTCAGGACACATGTCGAGAAGAGGCCAACACCAGCTCCAGTTACTCCCCCTCTCCCAGGACAGTATACACCTGCAACGATGGAAAGGTCATACTCACTGGTTAAGCTGGGCTTGTTAGACTGATGATGTATGGTATGACTTGAACATTTGCACATTTTGTCATATTTACGACCAGAGAATTTAGTTTTTTGGGGGTTTTATAAGAAATACCACAACAGGAAATTATTAAGTAAAAGAGAAATCATACGTTTGGGAAGGCTTGTTCATGGAGCATTTTTGCATTACATTGCCTGCTAAGATATGACTTCTGAATGTTCATATCTTTCCCTAATGATTAAATAGATGGGTGTAACTTACTAACTTTGTTTAGAGTGTATTGGTCACAAAACGGCATCAGACAGGGCAGGGTTAAAGTTGGAGGGAGTTTGAAGAATGGTTAGGTTATACAAAAATTAATGGTAATGGAAAGAGTATGGCTCAACTGCAAACCTACCAAGACACTGCTGTCTGCCAAAACTCGCAACTCAAACAAGGACAGTGGTGATCACAGATCTGGAGGTGCTGCACACTTTGCAGCTGAGCTAGGGGAATTCGTACACTACACATCTGGCTTTTATGAACAAGTGGTAAACAGAAAGCCAGTGTTGAAATAAAGGTTCAAAAATCATAGGGAGAGTCATACCCCAACACATAAGTCATTAGGTTTTATGAAGGCTGCACTTGAGTTGTGAAAACCATACTTTTCATTTTTATTTTTTATTTGTTTTAAAAGTCTCTTTTTGCTTTCACTTTACATTTACTTTGTTTTGGTCTTTTTATTGTCAAGGATGGACATAAAAACATGACAAAATGTCATGTTGTTGTTTGTTTTTTGCAAGCCTCTGTATGTTACAGAACCATTCACCACTATCAAATATGTACAAAAAACTTCTCTGAACACTGGAATCTGCTCCAGTCACTGCCGGACTGGCTTGTCTGCAGGTGAAGACAGAGGAGATTATTATCTTGCTTGCCAGAGCAGAGTCATCAGTGTTTATTAGCCCAGTGGTGTTCGGGTGGTCTCTCCTCCACTGCTGTAACTTAACCCACATCCTGTCTTTTCTGACAGGAGGGAATTGGTACTACAAGCTTTGAGGCCTGCAGCCTCTTCAAGCATGAAGAACACTTGCAAATTAGAACTCTCCTACATTAGGGACCCTATATTAATTATTTGCACGAGAGGAATTTATAGTGACTGACAGGTTTCCCCCTAGTGAGAGAGCAATGGGAAAAGGTTGAAAAGCACAAGGGAAATGGAAGGAGAGATAAGTCGTGGGCAAGAGAATGGTTGGATGAAACCAATCTCAAAGTAACCTGCAGTGAAAGCTCGTATACTGGCGGCCTCCAGCCTATTCAACACAGGGAATTGTATTTTGGATGCTGGCCTAAAGACATAGCATTGATAATAAAGTAGAGTCAGGTACCCCGCGCTGCATTACCTTGCAATTGGCTTCAAGTGTGTACCTTGGAGATAGCCACAGACTAACCTTTGCTATGGTAATCCTGAGACAACAAAAACATCAAATATAATGTATATGACAATGTATTATGACAAAACATGTCCCTTCTAGGTTCACCTCGGTGGGGGCATTTGGGTTGAGGAGGAGAAGTGGCACCAGCTACAACGCACCCAGGGAGACTCAAAGTTCACCAAGAACCTGGCTGTGATGATCTGGGGCACTGAAACCCTTAAGAACCGCAGTGTGACTGGTGTGGCTACCAAAAAGAAGAAAGATGCCCTACCCAAACCTCCACTGTCTCCCAGCAAACTTAAAATAGTTAGAGGTATGTTACAAAAAGACTTTTTTGCATGTTCACCTTCTAAACTGCAATTCTAAACCTACATAATGAGCTGCTCGTTATCTGTTTTTAGAGTGTCTCTACGACCGAGTGTCCCAAGAGACAGCTGACAGTGCAGAGATCACGCAGAGATTGTCCAAAGTGAACAAATACATTTGTGAAAAGATTATGGATATCAATAAATCCATCAAGAACGAGGAGCGACGGGAGTCAAAGCTACTTATCCGACAGACAGTCAAGATGGAAAACTACAACTATGATGGCGTGTAGTGACCATGGTGGTTAGAGCCTTTGTCAAAACCGCCCAGGATTGTGAGAGACTATGGCTTTGGGGGAGTTTAATCACCGTTTTTTTTTTTTTTTTTTAAACAACATTGACTTGGTTTATTGGTACACATATTAGCCCATCTTGCCACTCTGTGGCGCATAATTTGGCAGCCGACAGCTTTAGTGATGTTCCGATACCATGTTTCAGAGCCGATCTGGTACTTGGCCCCATCTGATGTGCCGATACCGATTTCAGTCTGGTACCACACATTGTGTCACTATAGCTGAAGTAAACATAAAAAATATGATTAAAGTAAAGATCTATTTAACAGATGTCAAACTATCTAGTCATACTTAAAATGTTAAACTGAGTCCATTGAAAATTGAGTGTTAGTTGCTTCTGGTCAATCGCTATGGCTAAACGAAGCATCACAATTCTAAAACATGTTTGTTCAGTATTTGTCTCTGTCTAGGCTCTAGGCGCAGGCTCTAGGCGCAGGCTCTAGGCGCAGGCTCTAAGCGCAGGCTCTAAGCAGTGACCCCTCAGGTCAGGGGAAACATTAGTGCACTATACTTGTTCTTTCTGATGGTGGATCTTTCTGCAATATCTGTATTGGAACATCCTTAGACAGCTTTACCCAATAGTAACTAAGCAGAAGTGTAAGATGAGGATGGCTCTTTGTATAGCATGTTCACTGATGTATTTTGTCCTCAGTGATTGATATGTGATCATTAATGTATGATTGTTCTGTGTCAGAACATACCGTTATGAACTTTTAAAAAGTGTATCCCGAAAAGCTAAGTCATTTAAATCTGTCAAGACCATGATTCTGCCTTTTTAAAAAGGTCTTCAAAGTAATCATTCAGTGACACACTGGGATTGGCTGGATGTGTTTTGATTCCTTTTGAAGTGGGTAATTAGTTTTTATTACCCATGTTGGAATCAATTTTGGTCATACTCAGAGAATCAAAATCAAGTTTTGAGAACAGAGAAAGCTTATTGCCCCTATCTAATATTCTGTGATTTGTCCTTGTGTTATGAGAGAGCACAATCATGATACAATGCCCAAGTGTTAAGGGGCGTTCACACCGGACTTAACTTTGGCGTCAAAAGCGTCAGGTTTCCATTGAAAGTGAATGGTGAAGCGCGTCAGGTGAAGCCGAGAGCCCCGGCGTCACTTGACGCGCGTCAAAAGCTTCAAGAGTCGCGCGTACTACGCGCTCACTTGAAGCTTTTGACGCGCGAAACGCTCGCGTATCACAACAATCCCTTTGACGCCGAAGCTGAGCAAAGCTGAGCTTTTGAAGCTTTGACGCGGGCTTCAACCAATCAGGAGACGAGGAGCAGCAGCAGCAGAGGGTCTGTCTCTGTCATGAAGAGAAGTCATGTATCTGCTGCTGTTTTATTGTCATTATTGTTATTAGTAATATTATTTGTATGAGTAGTAAAATTCTGAGTAACAAAAATCATTGTACACATGCTGTGTAGTAAACGTAGTTTATTTAATATAAGAACAGGCTGACGATGAGTCTGGCTCAGAGCAAGGCAGCTCCGGGCGAACGAGAGCCGGGGAGAGGCGGGGAGAGGCAGGGAGAGGCGGGGAGAGGCAGGGAGAGGCGAGCGAGAACCGGGGAGAGGCGAGCTCCGGGGTTTGAGAACTCAGACTGGGCGAGTGACATGCGGAAGTACCGCTGAAAGCGAAACTCCTCCGTACGCAGCTCCTGGAGTAACTGACGGAACTCTGCAAACACTGCAGCCTCTCAAGTCTGTGGTGAACCCAGAACATGTTTTGTTGAAGCTCTACAACAACGTTATTTTGCTTTATATAACAAATAAAGGCTCGCTGCTCATTGAAAAATCCACCGCTGTCCTGACTACAGGCAACAGAGAAGCTCCTCCCACCGGCGTCAGGCGCGTCACTCGCGTCACTCGCGTCAAAAGCTTCAAGCATCAAAATGACAAAACTATCCCGGCGTCAGTTGAAGCGCGTCAAAAGCTTTTTGAAGCTTTTGGTCTGAACGCGCCTTTAGACTGTTATATACACTGTTGGTACATGTGTGGTTTGTGGAGAGGCCTTAAGGATGTGAAAATGCCCAGGGTTTGTGTTCCCTGACTGGTTAGTAAGCTGTGATTGTAGATGTATAGGAAGCTGTAGCACTTTTTAGTGGAGAAGTGAGGTACTTTTGTGGGATCCAGATATGCTGTTAGCCTGAGCCAGACTCTGGTGTCCTGCTGTGAGACATCTCTGCTGCTCACGAGAAAAAGGACACTGTGTGGATCTTGCCTGCTTCAGCTCATTCTATGTAAGAGTAGTGTTAGCTGTGGGTAAAGCTGTCTATAAAAAAACTATTTGGCTGTTCAAATTGTCTGGGCCAGCAATAGCTTATTATAACACTTTGTTTTTGAAACGTACTCAAGGTAAAGTAAGGTCGCTCCAGTGACTATTTCCTTTTGAGCCATGCTACCAAAACTTTGAAAATGACCTTGTATACTTTTTGATATTATTTTTCCAGTTCCTTTATTGTTTTGGTCCAGAAGGCTCGGCTGACTGCAGACTGGAACTAAATGCAGCAGATTGAAATCTCAACTGTGACCTAGCTGTGGCTAACTGTACCTGAGCAAAGCCTTTCCTCTTTCTCACACAACGTTGGCTTTGTATTGCTCTGTCCATTGTTCAGACTAGCCTTTTCCTTTTGTTTTTCTGACAGTCATTGTACAGATGAGATATAAGTTTCTTTTTTTTTATCACGTATTGCTCTCATTTAGCGTTACTATTTCATTTTATTTTTAGCTTGTACTATATTTGCTTTTAGCTTGATATCAGTTCTACACAGCAACTTTTCACCATAAAAACCAAAATGTCACATCCAAAAACAACTTGACAGTTTTATAAAATTTAGCCAAATTAAAAGCCAACACAGATTATCTGTTATAAATAATGGTCTATAGACAAATAATTGTGCTTATGCACTGAAATGCAGTAGTTAGATCAATACAAATCATTGACCTAAAATGCACTTTACGGTTGTGGGGAATTTGAAAGTATGTTTCTTTCTTTCTTATAGATTAAGGCCGAGCAATCAATGTATTATCATGAAGCACCTTAGGCTATTTTTTCTTATGGCAAAAAATAAGAATGCAGCCACTTGAATCAATGGGCCTGTTGACTATTGGTACTGAATATAAAAGATTCCACCAATTCTTTAATCAATATTTGGGGTGATTGAGTGCTCCACCTAAGCCCCGGAACAATAAATAATTGCTGTTGAACGCTAAAGTTGGCAAATTGACAAGGTACGGCCGTATTTAGCCTTGTGAGTCCAGACGATTTTGTATGTTGTATGAAATGTGCACAGTGACTGTAACGTGTGCTTTAACTTAATGTGTCAAGATGCTGGGATGTGTAGATGATTCTGTAGAGTTGAATGCGTATTTTTACTATGAAAAGTAACTGTAAGCCAAAGTATTGAATGCTGAGATCGTGGTGGTGCTGACTGGGAGATGAGCATGGTTTGCACAAAGAAGCCAATGCCAACTATTCATGTTAACAATGGCATAATATTCTAAATGATATTTTAATCCTTTCCTCTACACAGTAACCTTTAGCTTTTGTTTTCCCTGTGTAAAGGGCTTATTTGCTTCGCCATGTGTTAAAATACATGCAGCTCAAGAAAAAAGCAAAGAATTCTGCTGTGCTAATCAAGCTAGCTTCTGATCCGTCTTGTATTGTTATTGTGTTTGTTCTTTTCTTGTTCAATGCCAAAAGAGGGTGTGGTTTTAAGTAATGCTTAAACGGCATTAATCAAGCTATTACATTGTGTGAAACGTCAACTTGTTTTTCAGATCTAGAATCCTGGAGTGCAATTAAGCCTAATCCTTTAACTAAAACCATCTTTGGAGGATGAGCCTCTATGGAAACCCACATGTTTTAACCTAGATTTGACCTAATCTGCATCAGCACGGCTACTCTTGCAAATCTCTAAATGTACAAATGACTTGGAGAAGAGCAGATTAGTGCTTTATTACATGGAGCAGTGCAGGTAAAACCAGTGAATTGTAGACTAGTTTGACCGTTTGAACTCAATGGCAGAGCTACTGGGACGCTCACTGTCAAACTCGTAGCGGTAGGCAGGAAACGTAACCTCAGTGGCACCGTGGCCTGCGTCACTGCCACATCTTATTCCTGACATTTCTCCAGACTGGATTTGAAAGTGCACGAGTATAAACACTCTGTGGTCGGGGAAAAAAACATCTCTTGAGTCTCAGCTACACACGTATCGTGAATGAAAAAACTGAGGAACACACTGTTGGGACTTTATAGAATAGTCTTAAGCTATCAGTAACTTTGTATACAATCCACAAACCAGTTCTACTTCATCTAACTTCACCATCCTACCTCATTGTTACTCTGGTGTTTGTCAGTGACTGTAAACTATGTGTGTATAGTATAAAAATATATAGAAACGTTATACCTGATTACTCTCAACATGTACAGCTTGTACAACTTGTAAAACACCTCAGTACACAATATCATTCTTAGGTAAACCTGTTTTGTTACTTGCTTCTAAATGCTGCTGTACAGGGGTGTCTGGGAGGGTCATCTTTGGGTATATACAGTATTTCCGCTCTTTGCTCTGTTGTGCAGTTGAACTCGGTGGTTGTGTTCTGTCTCTGTATCGCATTCTGAGATTTGTACTGGTTGACGGTGCTACCAGCAAACAGTTCAAACATGATCTGTATCTCGGACCTCAAATGGTGCTGTTTTTCTATGTTTTTATCCTCATACACCTCTGTTATTATTCAGGTGTGTAAACTGCTACTGTCCCCCTGACTCAATCTGTAATGACACATTTTCTAAGCCAAAATATTTCGCATAATGGTAACCCTGCTCTTATTGTATCTGCTTAATGCTATCCATCCAAATATTGTAGATAGTTATTTCGATATCCTCAGCTGTGAGTTTCACAAGTACCTCAAACATTTTCAATGGATGCATTTGCTT